TTTAGGTTTTAAAATCTTTTTTTTTAGGAAATTGCGGAAACAGAATAAACAGTGGAAAAATCAATAAACAATGTACGTTTCCAAAAGATGATTGGTTCAAAGTAACTTAAATGAGGAAATTGTAAATATCCTAGTGATGATGACTTTTAATTCATTTATTTGTGTAAATTTTTGTATAGTGAAATAGTTATTGTCATGAATGCTTAGTATTAAAATGTGTCTCAGAAGCAATGATTTCTGAGTATAAACTAATTGCTAAGCTCCTAAAACTAAGTTAATTTTTTGGTGTCTTAGATACATTTCCACCGTACCAAGTGAGTAATTTTAAGAAATTGGCTTATTGTACCAAGTGAAGATGGAAATCGATAAGCCTTATCGATTATAGCGGCTTAGATATATGCTATCTATGCCTAACCAACGTCTACTTTGTTATGAAGTTCTGGTTAATGTGAGAACAGGCTGAAAAAATCGAAGTGTAGCATCAGTCTATAACATTACAGACCGTTCGCGAGTCGTGTTGATAGATACAAACTAAGTGGTTGGCGTCTGTGTAGTTATCATGATCAGTGAATAGACACATTGAATGGTATGACTAGAAATAAGTTGCGATGGCCCAGAAGTGATCATTCTTTATTTTTCTCCTAAATAATCAGTTTCAGTATTATCTCAATGGTTTTTAGTTCGTGAATTCATCTCACCTTTTTTAACAATATTCTTCAATATAATGTTGACAGAATCGGTTGTAAATTGATAGATTAGATTAACAGCTATATTTCTACTTCACGTCGGTCTGAACAGCTGAGTTATATTGCCAGTATAGTGTTGTGGAGATTGTTGAGTTTCATTGAAATCATGAACTGATTAATGTGTTGGACTATAGGTTAGGGGTTTGTGAGAGAAAGCGATGGCACTGGGTCGTGGATGCACACTGCTGGGGAGTTCTATAGCGGGATGAAACTGCCGCCTGCTGCTTCCAGGTTTTCAATGGGGGTCTAACACTGATCGGTTCATGACTAATGAATTACATTACATGTATATCGAAAGGCAAAGTGTATTATGTAGGTGAGAAGAATTGATATTTAGGAAAAAAATCACCCATTATACACATTTTGACTGAATATCAAATTAAAATCACAATGTGTTAAAGTCATTTATGCTGATTGATTTAGTAACAGAATAGATGGTCTGATAAGTTTGTTACGATCATGTAACAGCATAAATCCACTTACTGACCAATAATCTAAAATACTGATTTATACTTTATCCGCTTGCTATCAGTATATTTTCGTATTTGTTTACTGAGTTGCGCGACAATAAGATTGTTTATTGCTAAGTGAATAATGGCTTATACTCCAGCGCATCCAACTTGTCTTACTTCGATGGCTTTCACAACATTATCAGGGACAATTCATCTCGTATTAAAACTTTGTAGTGAATATATATATATACCAAATGCAAATTGTTAGGAGATAGAAGATAATGAAGTTATCAACTTGCTATACATAAACTTACTTGTCCAGAACAACTAACCAAGATATCATTTGATTGAGATGGTTTTTCAATAGACGGCATCCATCCGAACACCTAGAATAATTTAGAAACTATATAATTAAATCCATTCAATAAAATATAATTACATTCATGCAGATGACTAATAATTATATATGGTAAATGTATTCTATAAGACTACATGTGATTATCAACTATTTTTACATGCACTGAGAAAAAATAACGCATATATATCAATTATCATTTGGAAATTGTACTGTTCATTACAGTAGTATTGACAGTAGTTGAAATCAAGCATAAAATGACAAGGTATACGATTCGTTTATTATCATTAAAAGAAAACAGTGAGATAATATATTCAAGTGTCAATTCATACAGAGATATTGATGATGATTATTATTGGTGTTTTTTCATTAATGAATCAACTATTCTAGCCGATATGAAAAACCTATTTTATATTCTATATCAGACAAGTATTTAATCAATTTTTTAATCTCTTAAGAGTTCCGAAAATAATCCAGTTTATTATATATACAAACAACTGAGCGGATTCTGTGACGTAAGTTAGTCAATTAATGACCATTTAGAACGTGGTACATAGGTACTTCGTTTCAAGTTGCCACACTTCTTTAGGACAGAAAGATGAAATTTTCAGGTCAAATCCCAGAATAATAGAGTTAGTGATAGTATTGATGGTAAAAGAAAAGATTAAGCATTGAAGATACAACTTAATGAAATATAAATATATACATCAGACAATCTCTAATGTAGATAAATCTATATTATTCTCGAATGTTCCCCTATTAACTCGCTCAAAAAGTATTAATAATTATAAGGAAAAAAACTGTTGAGTTGTAATTTCTATTAAATATGTGTAAATTACATAAAGTAAGTAAAAAAAAATATTTGAAGTCAGTCAATCTAATCATCAGTAATTTAGGTCCTGGTATATATGTGAATCAGTTCAAGTTACTCTACCGTATTAACACAAATGGGATTATCATGAAAAATACCAGAAAACTAGAATTAGCAACATTGTCACCTCTCTATTCTTCAGACTAAATAAATGAAGTCGTTTACATTAAGTTACGAAACGTCAGAAATACGATTTTTCTACTCATATAAGTATATTTAATATTAAATTTGTATCCAATGCTCAATCTATTTGAAACTATCATGTCTAACCTTGATATTGATACTTAAAAGTAATCAGTAATAGTAAAAAAGATTATATAGAAATAATATAATTCATAAAGAAAGAATGAATTTACAATATAGTAAAGTTGAATATGATTTATAATCTTAAAGAAGTCAAAGCATGAATACATCTGAGCCGTTGTGACATTAGATGAAAAGATTATTTGAAATCAGTAGAAAAAGAATAATATTTTCTTTTAAAACCACTTATTATAACAACAAAAATAATTTCACCGACTAAATTGAACAATGTGATCCACTTTGTCGGTATACGCACATACACATACACACATACAAACACATAAAAACACAACATACAAATTCAGCACATTTTTAATAATATTGTGATGTTATTCCAGTTGTCAAGAGAAAATTTTCAAATCAACCAATAATTAATGGTAGCAATTGAAATGAAATCTTTATACTAAAAAGAATTCTAAGTTGGTGATTTGTCTTTTCTTGCCAAATCTACATAATTACACGTACATGTATAGATAAACTGTGTTGATTTCATTCAATGGAAAAATAAAATTATCATTACTAATAATAGTAATCATAACAATTTATACATTCAAAAAAAAACCCGGAGAATTAACATAGTTTCAACGATTTTGTTTCTCAGAAAAAAGGTAGGGTAACGAAGTGAAATCATCTAATTTCATAAATTTAATCGCCTGTTTTTTTCCTTCTTAATTCTGGGATATAAGATCATTAAATGTAAAAGAAATGGTAATATTTGAACTTGAATTTGAGAAAAAAATGTATAGGATTGGTTACTGTGATTATGACTCATGGTCTTAACTATTGAAATTCCTACAATCTCCACAAAACCCCTTCTGATATATTTTTTAATAATATTTAAAAGATTTTTCATTTGAAGTAATCCATGATCTATTACTGAATTATAAAATATTAATTTCAATGGTTGAGATCATGAGTTAATTGAGGCTAGACCACCATGGAAAAGCTGGAAGCACTGGACAGCCATTTCGTCCTATTGTGGGACTCCTCAACAGTGTGCATTCACGAACCCGCTCCGCTAGATTCGAACCCAGGACCAATCAGTCTCACGCACGAGCATCTAACCACTAGACCACTGAGTTGGTGTGGTTGGGGTAGCGCACTGCTGAGGAGTCCCACAATAAGACGAAATGGCTGTCCAGTGCTTCCAGGTTTTCCATGGTGGTCTAGCTTCAATTGACTCATGATCTCAACCATTGAAATGACTATAATATCCACAAAACCTTTCTGATATTTTTTATAATATTTAAGAGATTTTTCATTTGAAGTAATCCATGATTCATTACTGAATTATAAAATATTAGTTAAGTAGATCTACACAAATGAAATCGATTTCAATTCAAATGATCGTTGCCATAGTTGTTTTTTTGGAGGGTGAAATTAAATCTGTTTGAATCATCAATTTTTGTCTTCTTTATTGTTTTATGTGAATTTCAGTGTTTCTTATAGTGAATATCAGTTTTGTCTTTGTAGTACCTAAAGGATGAGTATACTGCTCGGCAGTTCGTTATGTTCTACAATGTCGCTGTAAACCGTGGCCTCCGAAAATTTTAGATACCCATAGATGACTAGTTTTTGTCCATAGATTACTTCGGACGATTGCTTCCATTGGTGAGTGAGAAGTCTTGTGATTACGTACGAAACACTAGGTGAAGGTAGTAAATTGATTGATAAGATTGTTGATTTTATCGACTGAGGTGGTTGATGTATATATCACGTCAACCCAGCTATCGCCCATCTCAGACTAGGGTGTTTTCAGAGAGAAAAGTAGGCTGCATGAATGCTAGGAACAGTTTAACCAAGACGTAGGACCTGTCTGTGAAGTTAATAACTGTTGAACTGAGTCACTTCGACAGGTGCAGACTACCTGGTAGAAGTCTGCTGGATTATCAAGACCAATGGTTGAAAACATTAAGTGAATTGAATCCAAAATCGTCACAATGGCACAGTTGCATTCACTATTCATTTTTCCTCAGATTTTAAATTTTAGAATTATCATACACCTTCATTTTGTCTCCTTGAATCATATTGCTTGTTTCTGATATCTTTTACTAATATTGATAATATCACTACTTCTATTACTCTGTAATTTTTTTACGATAATATAGTCTTGTTATGTTGATGTAAGGTGACAGCTTTGACTGATTCCCATACTTGCCAGGTCCTACGTATTTTACAACTAACTGGATTCAGTAAATATAAATACTTTTCAATGTTCTCAAAAATTACATAACATATAGTCTTTTTTTAAATCGATTTATAGTAAACTCTTTGCCAGCTAGATATTTAAAAGGAGTTGTTCGATATTTATTTTATTGGTAAAGAAAACAAGGGAGAGAGAGAAAAAAATCATTACGGATTAAATGGCGAAAAGCGAGTCCATGTGAAGATTTTAGTTTTAGTCTAGAGGGGAAAATTTTTATTTCACTTGGCCAATGATTAGTTGTTTTTTTTAATCATTTTGATTAACTAACTTACAAAATAATATTGTTGTTGAATTAATCATTTATATCAGAGGATTCCTTGAGAAACCTGTTTTTTGCGTAAAGTCTAAACATTTTACGTTCCATATTAGTTTAATTATAATTTTCCGACTAAAAATAATTTTAATATATAATTTTACTATTTTCTACGTATTAAGTTGTATATCAATGGTTTTTCTTATTTTGAGTAAACTTTAGGTGTAATTTATAATCTATACAGTTAATACACAAACTCGACTACTCAATTGTTGCGGTAAAACTTTGAAAAATATCTCAGTAAAATTCTGAAATATTGAAGGATATCTATGGAAACAACCTACTGAATAAAATGTGTCATTTTGTGCAGATCAAGCATTTCAGTGAGTATATCGAGGATTGTAAAGATATTTTAAGACCAAGGCAACTGTTGATCATCTGTGTTAATAAAAATGTTGAACTTATGGGATCTATTGTGTTCCCTGATATTCAACATCTTTTCCAGGTTGTTAATAAGGAATCGAATTCAGGAAAATCATCTGAGCAGACGATCCTATCATTGAGAGGATGTGAAAGTTATAATAAGTGAGATGAAAAGACAGCTGGAGAGCCTATATATTGAGGACCTTTACGTATGTTGTGTACATCAATCCTCAACCGTAAATTAGTGTGAAAATTTTGATAAAGAACGACATTCATAAAGAAAATGTATAGGCTTAGAAAAAATGTCAAAATGAGAAGCAAATTATCACTAGCGCTTTTTAAATTAATTTAGATATGAATACAAATCAGTTCCATAAAAATAATCATTTAAAATTAATCGCAGTCTGTCGTACAGTTCCAGTACTCTAAACAAAGTCTTAATCAGGTGGGGTAAAACCAGGTCACAAAGTAAGAACATTTTAGATAAACTACTTTATTTTACACAATATAGGAACGAATTGACTGATGACGTAGTAAATCTATATCAACTGTGGTGGTTGTGACATGTGTTACATATGCCTAACCACCGCCTTCTTCGACAGGTGACATTTTGTGGTGTAGTATTAGGCTGAAAAAAAGATAGGAGTAGTTTAGTCAAAACACGACATCGGTTTATGAATGGATAATTAGAACACAGATATATGAACGGAGAATATTCTTTTCAATAAGGTCTCTTCATTACCTTACACATGTTAACTCTCATGGAGAAGCATAGGTCACACACAAGCATTCTCCATGGTATTTTTTCCTAGACAATCCTCCCCAGTTCCTTCCAACTTCTATTCATCCTTTTCATGTCTGCTTCCAATTCCCGACTCAGTGTATTCTTTGGCCTTCCTCTTTTCCGTTTCCATTCAGGAGTTGAAGTTAGGAACTGCCTCGTGATGCCGTTTGATTACTTCCTCAAGATATGTCCTATCAACCACCAGCGTCTTTTTCTCTTCAACTGGAAGCTGGTTTGTTCTCTTTCATAGTAGGCTGCTGTTGATGGTATCCAATCAACGGATATTGGTTATTTTCCGTAGATAACTGTCTATAAATATTTGTACTGTTTTGATGGTGATTGTAGTAGTTCTCCATTTTTAAGTTCCGTATAGTAGAACTGTAATAATGTCCGTATAGAAGATTCTGGCTTTGATGTTCGCCGACAGTTGTTCTGAGTTTAATATGTTCTTCAACTGTACGAATGCTGTACTTGCTTTGCAATTTCTCGTCTTAACGTCTGCATTAGATCCTCTCTGTTCATTGTTAATACTGCTTAGATACATGGATGTATCCACCTGTCCCAGAGCTTCCCCATCAAGTGTGACTGGGTTGTTGTTCTTTGTGTTGTACTTGAGTATGTTGCTTTTTTCCTTGAATAGTTTGAGGCCTATTAATGTGGAGGCTGCTGCTACACTTTTTATTTTGAACTGCATTTTTTAATGTGTATGGTATAGAAGGGTCAAGTCATCTGCAAACTACAAATTGTCTAGTTGCATCCAACCTGTCCATTTTATTCCGTGCTTCTCATCAGATATTAAGGTCTTCATAATCCAGTCAACCACTAGAAGCAAGAGAGACGGTGAAAGTAAGCAGCCTTGCTAGACTGTGGTCCTTAATTGGAACGCGTCTGTCAGCTGTCCTTTATGCACGACTTTTCTCTGTAGTCGGTCGTATGAATTCCGAGTGATGTTGACGATTTTCTCAGGTAGTGCCGAAGAGGTTTCCATAATGTTATATAATATTATATATATTATAAATTAAACTAGAAATTTATATTAGATTGGAGCTAAAAGGTTACCACACAGTTATTATCACACAAAAAATAAAAATAAGATCAAATTACTAGAATAAATTTCAAGACAGTTAAACAACAACGCGACTAATGTTATGATCCCTGAAACAAATCCACGTAATAAGAGCTTCATGATTCTGGAAGAATTTAAAAACTTCCATGGTCGTAAAAACTTATCAAGTGTAACAGATGGATAATTCGATAAGCAACAGAACTTAATATAGTTCATTTACACTAAACAAGAGAAAATGCAAACAGCAATGCCGGCCAAAAATTAACAACAGCAATGAACAATAATAAGTTCATTGAAAAAATATTTTTTCGGTTGTCCATCAAACAAAATAACGGAGCACTAAAACATTTATTCTTTACTTAAGTAAATAATTACAACTTATCAACTAGATCAAAACCGTTCGTACTTAAACTTATCTATCAAATTAACATTTCTCTAAACAGCCGAAACTTCTGAATCTATTTAGCTCGGACGAGCTTTTGACAAAGTTAGTCACAATTTGTGAACGCTTCACTTTAATTCGTCGATAGAAACATTTTATCCGTGACGTAAGTATTTTCATCAATTTAAGGTAAACCGATAAAGGAATCTGACATAACAAAGTATTCTGATGTTAGTTAGCAGAAACATTGTTTAGTTAATAAACACTCAAATTGCACTTGTTACTTAATGACAAAAAACAAAGTATTAGGTGTACTATTGAAGTCTCAAATTTATTGTCACCGAAACCAGAATCAAAATAGATTTTTATAAGACAAGAGATTAAGTTAGTTTCAATCAGCTCTCATATTTGTTAACTGTGCAGGAATACTCTTGAAGACTGACGTGAAATATGATGTTTACGGTAAATTGGCCCCAAGTTCTAACTATTTAAAAAAGAGTTTAATGAATTGGAAACCATACTGAAGTTGGCCAATTAGGTAACACTAAAATCCAGTGATGACTGAATATCGAATGAGAAGATAAGCATGAACCTATAAAAAACAAATAGTGAATGTCATGAAATTGATTTCTTTCCAATTCACCCAGACTTCCCTGAAAGGATTATTTCTTTTATGTAGGACACAGTAAAAGGATGAAATATACATGCTATCGTAAGTGAAAAGTTTTTAAGAATAATTTGATTGTGTTTTCTATTGTTTTAGCCGCAATATGACATAGCGACAAATTGTAGGTTGGTGAACTTGTGATGCCCAATAATTCGGTTTGTTATCACATCACGATATTTAGTCTACCAAATTATACATGACAATTAAAAAACTAAGCAATTATGCAAACAATAACTGCAATCTTACTGCTTTACACTTAATCATAATTAGACATTTTCCTATATACAGAAAAATGAAACAAGTTGAACATCATTAAATACTTGACATAAAACCACTCGACGTTAAATAATACTGTAAGACTATCTAGAAGTGAAGTTAATTTAAGAATATATATATCAACTAGATTTCTATCTCATAAAACATTCTGTGGACAGACATTCAAATAAAGTTTTACTATAGTGTTGCACTCGTAGAAACAAGAAGCCGGGAAAATGAGCTACTATAGGCAAACAATTTATTTAAACTAATAATTTAAACTAAATTAGGAAAATACGTAGTAATAGCACCAAATCAGCAGGTGGTCATTATTACTTACCTTATTTACTTTAAGAAGAACGCAAGGTGTTCCACTATCGTAACCGTAATTATTTGAAGTGTTACAAGATCCCAAATTCTCAAGAGGGAATTTGCAAACCTTATCCACATCTTTTGTTTCTCCTTCCTTGCCTTTACAACTGGCAAATTGACTATCGGGCTTCGCGTTAACCTGATTATACGTATCTAAATACGCGTCTATGTTCTGAGTGTATGGTAGATAGGTTTGTGAATCTCCAGAAGAATAATGAATGAGAGATTTTTGAACATTTAATAGTGGACGGAACCCAAGGCCTTTTGAGAAAAGATCAAAATTACATACTAACAAATACCTGGCTTGAAATCTAGTAAACTCTGAGCTCCAGTTCTAGCCGGCTGGTTCTCTGGGGCGTTGCAATACAATACCAACCACAATAAACAGGTGAAGAATGTTGCCAGGCAAGCATAATATATCAAGTAGAACAAAATACAGAGAGCTAAGGACGCTAGATACTGATATGTCAAACTCACTCCAGCTGCAGCATGTGCGGCCGAAAAGAGTTTTGTTCTTAGGATCATATACCCACGTTGGAATGCGACGTCGAGACATGTACGACAAAGTGGATAAATTATCCGAGAATTCCTGCATTGACATTTCCAAAACCTTTTATTTGATGCGCTACTGAGAAGACCTTGAAATGGCGTTCATTGAAGATGCTAGGAGAAACAATAAACATAACTTCGAATAAATCCGTAAACTCCACAGAGATTATTAAGTTTGTGTGAAAAAATTTGTGATTGATCAACATGATACAAGCAGTTAAAAATTTTTAGCTGGGTAAAAGAGTTGTTATTCTTTTATTTTCTCTAAGTAATATAAGCAAACCCCTGAGTGACTTATATTGTTGTGTTGTATCAGAAACACTGCACCTGTTTGGTAATAGTTCGTCACCACCTTCAAATAATGGTAGAGACAAACCGGGATGGTCATCTGGCCTTCAGTCAAACCAGGTTCATCAACTGGAGTTACATCTTCCCTATGGAGTTAAATTTTGAGTGCATCGAACTAGATACTAGTGAAAGTTATCATCATTCATCACAACAGCATGGAGAAACATAATAGAAAAGATAGATGTTACTTGTAATTTACTATTATTAACTAATCTTACAAATCGACTGGTGACCAGTATCCGTTGTTCCACTCTACGAGCCATTCGACTGAATTCTTTTACCTTGCAAGAATATTTCACTCGAATTATAACCATCAGTTGATTCATTCTTTGTGCAGGTTCGGTAATATATTTATTGATGAGTTTGTAGTGGCACTTGTTTCTAACCACACGATCATTAGGGCTGGACATATAATAGCTAAGAAGGCTTACGTTGAACGTTGAACACTTGTGTGAAGACAGTAAGGGTTTATGTTGGACAATAATCAGAGATGGAGTTGCTCAGCCGTGCAGGTGTGATCACTGTGTGTAACGTCTTGCTTTTTTATTTATTATACCACCCAATCTCCGGCACAATTGTGTTCCCTAAAGGTTGATGAAAACACTACCGGCCGTCGTGATAGTTTAATTCAGTTTATACAATGATGTTACTTGGACGAATGATCTTATAGTAACATCATAACAAGTCCATAAAATTAGATAAGTTCTCTTATCTTGGTGGGATAAATGGGTGCACATATATTGAGCTACACTGAAACCACAAAATGTTCACTAACAGGTCTTTCAAATTGTTTCACAATTATTTGTGTTCTTCAGTGTTTACAGTATATGATCTATTAAAAAGTCAATTATCTAATGGAGATAACGAAGACTTGGCACCCGTACAATAGCATAAGCCCTCTTCAAATAGTATGGTCGAATATATTAGAAGATACCATTCACAAAGAAGTCACCTTTAGTAACGTAAACAATGTGAAGCACAAAATCGCTAACAATTAATGTGTAAAGAGATATTTTTAGACCATTTGCTTTCATTATGATGTACTTAATTCATTGAGCCAGAATATACTGTAATTTTAATAATATACGTTCCGGTCAGTTTGTAAAGGCTTAAGTTGAGTGGTTGAATATTATTCGGGAATCCCCTGCTAATGTCAAAAAATTATAGCTCAAGTATTTGTTTACTTCCTTATTTTATGTAGGCATTATGTTTCCAATTAACCTAAATCGAATGTTAAAAGTTTTGTATGTTTAAATGAACGTCGCACGCCATAACTGTTTTGGTACCGTCATCTGAATGAGGACCTGTGGTGGCATTGGGCACTAACTACACAAACCTCAAAGCTCAACATGGGACAGTTGGGGAAATAGATATTCAACACTTAACGCGGTGTAAAACCTAACGATGAAGAAGGCGGGAACAATAAATTGAATTAATTCGAAATGGTCAAACGTCATGGCTTGGCCTCGTAAGCGTGGTCCCTGTTGAATTCCTCAAAATGAGACGGTGAATAGTACAGACAACATTTCTTCCTTGTTAGACTGATGGTTCTTTGATTCCACGAATATTGTCTTGATGCCGTCTCGTCAGCTGAAGTGACGGTCGATTCTTTTCAATCCAATGGTAACTCACAGTCGTGAGGTGATATTGTGAATATGATGGGGAATAAGTTAACTTACATTTTTAGTTTTATCGCGATTTTAATGCGTACTCCATAAAATCTCGTTGATTTTTTATGCCTTAACTTATTTTTGATTTCTGTGCATCATCCTAGTTGACGTTCATAATGAGTAGCTAGCTCAGAGATATTAATTCTGGAGATAGTCTTGTATCAAGTGGTCGCTCCGATGGTAAACTTTGGTTGCTCGTATTTTGTTCCAGTCTTCATCCATCATTTGAGATGTGCTTCTTCCTGTAATTGAAACATAAATTCATGAGTGCATTTTACTTTGTGACTAGTGAGTGAGAATATATGTTGCAAGTACTTTACTGAAGTTTGTCCATGCAGATTTATTTATTTTCGCCAAGTGATGTAGATGTAGATTAAAATTATCCTGAACCAAACTGTTGGATCTCACTGTTTCCCTTGTAATAATGGGGATATTCCAAAATTTCGCCTTTCGTGACAGTTTGAAATGTATCCCACGATTCTCTAAAAGATAGCATTGGTTTCACTTTTTGGAACTGTCCAGAATATGGGCGACTACGTGGCTTCATCATATTGCTTCTGGAGTGCCCCAGTGCCTTTTCAACTAGTGTTACTCAGTGGAGTTCCACTGAAGGACTTGAAGTTGTCTGCCTTCGTTTTGACTTTCTGAAAATTTGGTCTGATGAGGGCGCCTCCTCGATAGACCACAGGATCATTGAACCTCTTGAACATTTATCCCTGCAGAAGGAAAGAAAGTGATTTTACAGACTCCATAACCGCTGGCGAGAACTAAGGTCGGGGTGGAAAAGTAATGATGTACATTATTTCTAGTAAGATCTATAATGATATAAAGAAATGGTAATGAGGTTTTGGCACCGAACCGCCATCTGCTAAATGGTTTCCGAACAGTCTTCAAGGTAGCTCAGTGTACTAGGTTTTCCTGAAGCCACTCACCACAAGATTTTCGGGCCTGATTGTCCAGGACTACAAACTATCCGGCGAAAAATTATCAACCGCATATTCTAACTAAAAGCACAATATAACTGGTTTGATATTTCACCCTGAATATTTCAGCCGGCACCATATCATTTCACGTATTCCTGAGTTGCGCGTTAATGTCTGTACAATTCATAACGTTATTATAATTTTTGAGCGAAGCTTTAACTCCACCACTCATAAGGCTTATCATTATCATCGTAATTATTATTAATACCATTATTATTCACAACCAATTTACTAGAACGTAAGTGTATTGAAGAAGCCATCTGGAGTTTCTTCAGTAATACAGTTATATACATGTTCCAAAGATATTGAAAAAGCATTTTCCAAGAAGGTGTACATGATAGGATTAAAGCATGTCCAACGTGTAGACAGGCTTACGAGATTTTCGATAGCCACACCGATAATTGAAGTCGTGACGAAAACAGTAGCGAGAGCTTCCACTAAGTATAAGGTAGTCATTTCCCGCAAGACAGTCACAACATTAGCTCGAAGGCGAGACTAACTTCAGTCGGAGAAACTCATAAGCATGTCGAGATTTCTTGGGGTTGACAGGATATGTTCTACGGTACATCACATTCTGGCTAATGGGTTTACAGGATGCTTCCATAATTACTAAAAACTTGCAGTAATTTTAAACTGAAACCTTACTCAGTAAGCAATGTTCTAGCTACTGATATCTCTAGGAATAAGAACAGCTCTCCAATACGATTTACTGTCCTGCGACCGAGCTTGTTCAGTTTCATTTTTGTCATTGTTCTCCCAACGCATTTAATCATGACATCCTTTTTTCTCTCACGCCTTTAGCTTGATTAATGTAGACTACTGTGATGATTTGTGGCACACATATGGCACTATTTAATCTCTTAACTTGAATTATTAGTTGTAAAGAACCTTCATATCTGCTTTTTGACTCCAACTTAATATCCTTGTGAATGTAAGAGCACTACCGATACGTTATGAATGTTATATAAAAATTAATGAAAATGTAATGTATGATAACAGATGTGAGGAAACTCGAAATGTTATCTTCATAAAGCTTAGGTAAGAATAAGTTATGTGAGTAGCAATGAGATCAAATCTTTCATGAGAGTCTATCAATCTTTGAACTAATTGTGAGAGATCGACTTGGTGAGTTAGGTTGATGAACTACGAAACCAAACCCTCGTTTTCTCGCTCTGGGAAATAAGTTCAAGATATAAACTTGAGTGTTGCTATAGAGTAAAATAAAAGATATGATAGATCTATCGTGTTATGCAAATCTTGTCTCTCATGCCTCGCTTAAACTTAGGAAGAAAATCAATCACCTGAGAAATACATGTTTTAGAACTACAGCTTGTGTTATCGATGCGGTAGAAACCAACGGAAATAAGAAACTGTTAAATTGATCCATTTTCGTAGCTTATATGGTGTGTGCTACTTATATTGATATAACTAGTATATGACGCGAGTCAGGAATGTTATGTCTGACAGCAGAAGATTGGGAAAGATCAAGAAAGCAAGATTGGGAATAAAATGCAATCTGTGTGGAAATGTAAGAACAACGAAGTCTGGGGCATTTCGAGACAATTGGTGGACATTTTGCAAATTAACGATTTAATATATGGTTCTCAGATTTTATTGGGATGCTCTGTAATTTTTTGTTAAATACATTCGATTGTTTCCACCCGTGTTCTCTTCACTACACTAAGAGCCAAGGAACGACTACAAAATAGTGGGATCCATAATCTTTCTTTAAACTTTTACCGCTTTCAAACTAACAAAAATGATATTTAATATGAGAAAACTAAACCTAGTTAATTATTATTGTTGTACTCGTTTTTTAAGTATAATGCTTTTGGACGTGCTACGTCCTTGTTCGAAAAAAACTGTGATTGTAATAACGCAGTGGGGTAAAGATGGTTAAAGTTGCCTCGAAACAAACACTTTTTGTCTAAGTAAAGCGTCCGAATTTTTTTGATAAATGCAGATATATAATATCTGCTACTAGCACTTTAAAAGTGTTGATTAAAAAACAGTGCTTAAGCTCATCTTGTGAACTAATTTTTCTAGTCTTGATATTATTATGAATTGCGTCCTATACCACAAAG